CAACAAAAAATGAATTGTATTTTTGTTATAGTGATTCTGCTGCATGGATTACAAGCACTCTGTCTCCATGCTTGGATAAACTCCATCAGAAGCACATTATCCCCCTACTTCTGTGGCCAGCTGCCTAATTGTATCTGCTGTAACCACACGCTGTTGGAACATGATACCAGGGAAGAACAGGAATGATAAATTACTCCCTGCAGGTGATAGTGATAATGATAATTTTTAATTTCGCTCTTCAGAACGTCTAGTCTGAGCTTATTTCATTGACTGGTACATGCACACATGATGTGTGCTGTTTTAAGAAAGCATGATGACACCAAATACATGAAAAGGTAATTTTTTTTGTTTCATAATTGTCTTCACACAAGCTTGTATAAAATGAGCTGCATTTACATTTAAACATGTACAAAATAAACAAAATGTGGCTTAAAATAATTTTAATTTTTTTTTTTTTTGCCACTTTGTGAAATCCACAAAAGAGATGAACAGTTGTGAACCTCATTATAATGCTTAGGAATATATTTAGAATGTGCAATAAAGCTTATACTTGTACTGTTTTCCCTTGCACTTCAAGTAATTGTGGAAGATTCTCAACAAATTTCAGGAATGATCAAATGATCCCAGGGATTTACCAGATGAAGGAGTTTTCCTTATATTCTTGTTTTCTTCTATCATCAGAAGATGTTGTTTCCCATTTTCTCTTCTCTTAGGACTCAGGCTTGATGTAATTCAGTGAAATTTTATTTGCTTATAGCTTTGCCTTTGCAGATGAGCCTTGCTCCTGTGAAGCACATGATCTTGACATTTTTTTGTTTTCCTCATCAGTTCCCAGCGCTCCTGACAAGAAGTGGGTGTAAGACAAAGGAGAAATTTATTAGGTGGCCAGGCTTCTCACCTGTGTGATCTTTTCAGGCACATGTCAGGCTGTAACTCCAGTTATTTATTGCTTTTACCTGGTGGTCATGACATCCACTTTGCAGGTAGTTGTTCATGCTTACATTTGAGTGACTTCCACAGGGCACATATGACTGAAATTACAATACATAAAGGTAGCCAGTTAAAGTGATTGTAACAAGGTGGTGAAACTGTAGTTGAAAATAGTAGCATATTGTGTTCCCTAAACAAAGTAGTTCTTAAATTAGCTGAGGTGTTTGATTGGTTACATCACTGTTTTCTTCAAATGACTTGGCAAAAATAAAAATACTAACCATTAATTCACTTGGTTTATATAACTGTGTCAAGTTTAAAAGGTTTTTTCTTTATTTTTACTTTGTAAGTATTTAAGTAGTCTGCCTTACTTTTGGAAGATACGTTTTGGAGACAGAGTCTCAGTATGAAGTTCAGGCTGGCCTTGAACTCACTTTGTAGCCCAGGCTGGTCTCGAACTCAGCAATCCTCCTGTCTCAGCCTCCCAAATGCTGGGATTACAGGCATAAGCCCCCACACTCGGCAGCATCCCTAATGGAGTCCTGAACCAGAAATTTTTCCTATTATAAATACACATACGTTTAACTTTAATTTATGTTAGGCAGTGAGAGATTTAACAGTAACAACAAATGATACAAATGTAGGAGTATACTGTAGTGAAAGTTATTTTTAAACCTATGAATTCTTTCTGTAATTTTCTACTTACTATTTTCAAGCTCATTTAACTAAGGAAACAAAGAGCAAAACAATGGCTACGGAGAAACTCCTACAGGGCCAAAAAATAAAAATAAATGAGAAGCCCAGTCTCTTTAGTTTGCATTTGACAATAAAAATGTATTTTAAAATTAGAAACTTCCCTTTAGTTTCTCAGAATAAGAATATTCCCCTTCCTCAGTCATGTGAAAGCTAGGTGTCAGAAGAGTCAGTTCCCTAATTCTTAAACCTAGGTGAAAGTCTTCCTAGCTTCATCTCATGATTTTCCTTTCTTCTTCTTGTATGCTGACTGGTTTTTAGTATTACTCTAAACGATCATTGGAAAGGAAAATCTTAAGAGTTGCAAGCAGAATGGTGCACTTCGAAGAGAACTGTAAAATAGATGCATTTTCAGATTTCCCAAATGCTCATAACCAGAGAAAAGACAATCATTTTCATTTTTCTCTTTCGCTTAAGGCTTATCTCTGATTAGTGATTATCTAAATATTTCTCTTACTGTATTATTGATCGAGGGTGTTACAGTACAATTTCTTCCTTCTTTGACTTTAAAGTTCACAGATTTGGGGATTCAGAAGCAGTTTTGAAATACCTTTATGTTTTCCAATCTTTTTTTCAGACTCAGTGCCAGCCTCGTGTTTTTGTTGTTGCTGCTGTTCAAGAGTTGAAAAACACATTTCTCCATGTGTTTTGTAAATTTCAGACTCAAGCTTAAACTTTTTAAAAAATATTCTCATGTAGTCCAACAATTCTTACTGCCATGGCTATCCCAGTATTTATTTGTACTTTTTCTTGGTTCCCATCTGTTCATTGGAAAATGTTATTGTAGAATTGTTCTTCCCCAAGTCCAGCAGCCCCCCCTGCTACATGTTAGACACTGCCTCATGGAGGGCACATGGGGCCGGGCACTGAAGGAACTGAGACACAGTCAGCTGAATTGAATGTGGTACTATGAGTAAGTTCACCTTCAGCATTATAAAGATAATCCGGGAGCTGTTCATTCTTGTTGGAAATACAAGTGTGGACAAGCACAAAGGTAATTAATGCAAGCCTCTAATCTACCATCAATAGCTTGGCGAATATCCTTCCAGATACATTGGTTTGTATAGTGCGTGGAATGTGCCCATTACGTACAGGCTATCTGTCAAGGTGCTGTCCACCTACATAAAGTCAGTTGTGACTTCTTAACAATTACTTTTGATGGTGAAGAGTGTTGTGATGGTTGGGTTTCCCTTACTAACAGCTCTCTATTTCTTGGTGAGTTCACTGGTGCCCTGCAGTTTAATTCATCTGTGACTATGGAATGTGGCACAGATTGCACAGATTAAAGGCTGTATCTCACAAGGATTGCTCCTTCAGACACGAGTCACAGAGGTGGGCCCTGGGTCAGCTACTCTGTCCTCTGGCCGCAAAGCAGTGGTGTTCACAGCCTCTGCCTCAGTTTCAGTATTGTGCTATAGAATTTCCAGATCCCAGAACAGCACAGCACTTGTACTGGGTTAGCTTTGTGTGGAGGAGTCTTTTAAGTACTAGAAAAACAAGCGAATAAAGATGCCTTAGAAATGTATTCTGATTACATGGTTTCAGTTGATAATCTATAGCTCAGTGCCACATTTGTTTATAATTTTATTTGACAGGGATATGAATAGTATTTTCTTTCTTTCTTGGTGAAATATAATAAACGTCAAGCTTAAATATTGAATTTGCTTTGGACTCAAGCCATATTAATCCTACAAGATCAATAAAACTTCACATTCTTAGGGAAAGCAGTGTACACAAACTAGCTTTATAGTGATTTTTTTCAGTAATCAGTCTTTATTTTTAATACTTTATAAGCTTAAGTTAATGCATTTTAAATTTTTTTTATTTAAAGGAAGTAGAACAGTAAAATAAAATAAAACAGTAGGAAATCCACAATCATTACTGATTATAGCATCATCTTATCTTCTAAGTTGCTCAGGCTACTGACCCCAGCTTGCAAAGTCAATCAGACAACTTCAACGTGGTTGCTTTCTTACTTCAGTTGTTATTACCTCAGCCTGGGTCGCAGCTGTTTGCTTGCTTAGGAGGGGTGGGGGGTTCCTTGCCGCCTCTCCCAGGCCAGCAGGGCCTGCACCAGCACACAGGCAGGCTACAGGCATCCTTGCTGCTTCTCCCCACCTGGCAGGACCTCCCCGGTGCCTGCGGTATGGGGACTGCATTGCTTCCCTGCTGTTTCTCCCCATCCGGCAGGCTGCCAACCCTGGTTCTCTTATTTTTGCTGGATTCCTGAATTCTCTGTCTCATGGGCTTCCAGTCTCGCTTCAGATCCTTCCTGTGTCCGTGGGACTCACTTCCCTACTCCATTTCTTCCTCATGTTGCTATATTCCAGGGTCTGGACACCAAACTTGGAGAGATTGTTTGTCTGCTGTCCACCACTCCGCCATTGCCCAGAAGCCCCTAGTTAATACAGTTTTTTAAAACAATTTAATTCAGGCTAGTCCCATGAGTGAACAAAAAAATGATATTTAAATTTTAAACAAAAAAGTCGTATGTTCATCTCAGTGTGCTTCCCATTGGGGAATGTTTTGTACTACCGTGGTAATCCTTAAACTGGAGTTTTTCCTTAAACATAAATTTTACTTGTTTTTCATGAGGTTTTTTTTCCTAGAAAAAGCTAACATTTTAAAATTATCTCTATTGCATTGCTCCTGTCACAAAAATACTCTTAGTATTTTAAAATTGGACATACCAAATCAGAAGAAATTAATAAGCTGGATTTGTATAAACAAATCTGTTTCCATAACTGCTATGCATTAAGCCATCCCAAAACATCATCGCTTGAGACTACATTTATATTTACTTGTTATGATTCTGCTGGTCGGTGCTGAGCTGGGTCCTGCAGCACATGGGGGGCTGGAGGCCTGGCTGGGGCAGGAGGCACGTGGTGGTCTGCGGCCTGTGGTGGCATTGCAGTCCAGAGTCAGGCTGCTCAGGGCTGGCTGGATGTCTCTCTCCCTGGTTTCTCACCGTTTCATACACTAACCTGATCCTTTCTCTAACAGAACATGTATTGATGATTTGATTTGCCTGTTACCCTCAAATGCTGTTACTTGAGTTTTACTTACAACATTGTTTTTAGTTATTTTTTATTAGCTGATGCTTGCATTCCAGAATGATTATAATTCCTCATGGGGAGTTGGTATACTTACTCATTTTTACTTAAAACATCTTTTCTAGGGAAAATAGTGACCTGCTGTGAGTTTAAGAGGCCTCTGGTCTTTGAAATGATATGTAATTTGCTATGTTTTGAAAATTTACAAAATTACTGTATCAGTTTAGTAATCCTTTGTATTCCCCTTTCTTAAAAAAAATACAGGCAATTGCTGGCTATTTTGATATATATTTTGAGAAGAATTGCCTCAAGAGGGTAAGTATCATGAGTTATTCATAAGAATTAATTATGCAGAGTACATTGTATTCTATTTTTGTGCCCCAAGGTGTTTGATCATAAGCATTTTGCTGTTGTGAGTGATTGGAGCTTCTGTTTGATTTAGTAGATTAATGTACCATGATATTAAAAATCTTGTACTTTATCAGATACTTTTGAACTTTACCAATGCAGGTTGTGTTCTCTACGGGACCCCAGAGTACCAAAACACACTGGAAACAGACAGTATTTCTACTAGAAAAGCCGTTTTCAGTAAAAGCAGGTGAGGAAAAAAAGGCAAAGATATACTTGGTAACCCTAAATAAACAAGTTACTCACATTACAGCCATGTGTTCTGTGTTTACTACATTTGGAACAAAGCAGCACATGCTAAGGTAAGATGTCTTTGAGCTTACTGTCTCCATAAATTTTAGTTGGCAAATCATTTAATTGAAGACATTTCTGAAAAAATTTTAAATTTAACTTTTGCTTTTTGAAATAGAGAGTATGTAGCTCAGGAATTCCACAGAATAATTACAAAAATGCTTGTTTACATTACAGTGTATTTTATAGTATTATATTGTTAGTAACAAAATAACTATTATCTAATAAGATGCAAATGAAACTAAATGTTTTCATTTCTTACGTGACTATCACCAATAGAATTATAAATTAAAGAGAATCTCAATCAATAGTTACCGTATTCAAAATGGATTTATCTAGAATTCCCTCTACTTCCTCCTGTATCTTACACAGGGTACGAGAGCTGGTGGATTCTGCAATCCTTTGTTTTAGTCTCATTGATTGTTCACTTGTATTATTGGCACCTGAAGTTCTCAGCTCCAAAAATTAGAATATGGATTTATTTTAACTCTTGTTACATAAAAAATCTTATCCCACTTTTACTAAATGCCTTCTGGAAGAAAGACATGCTGAATGTACAAGTTTGAGTGAAAAGATACCATATGCCACTATTAAATCAGGGAAAACCTAAATAATTAGAACCATGAGACGCTTTCTCATCCATCGGTTTGCTGAGAGGGAGAAAAGTGCATAAAGTTTTCCCATGCAGAATGCTCTAGTATTTTAGTCAAATGAAACTTGGATACTCTTTTGCTGGTAGTTTCATTTGATGGAACTTAAAATAGTTTGATACCATCAAATTAAGTCTAAATGGATCCCTGCACCCAGAAAATTTTTTTCTAGGCCTGTATTCTGAACAGTTTCCCCGACAGTGTGTACAAAAATGGTTCACAATGGTTTATAGAAGTGAAAGATTGGAAACAACCTGAGTGCCCATCAGAAAGTGAATAGATACGGTGGCTAAGTAGAATAAAATTGCAAGTACACTTTTTTTTTTGGTGCTAGAAATCAAACTCAGGATCTTGTGGTTGCCAGGCAGGTGCTGTGCAGCTGAGTTACATCCCTTGCCCTGTAGAGTGAAGCCCTGGGGCAGCTAAGTTATGTGTGTATGTGTCTCATCAGACACAGCACTCACTGTCCTAGCACTGTGGCACAGACCTGAGAAGCGACACTGGGTGAAAAATGTTGCTCAGTGACTTCCACAGTGCACTCACTATATGAAGTTCTAAAATGTAAAAACTCTACGTATGCGAATCTGAAAAAAACTGAGCAACACTTAAGAATGATACCCACTGGCTTCATAAAGAGGTGCCTCCAGGGAAGGCTGATACGTGGTTAGGGCAGATGACCAAGGGGCCTCAGTGGCATTTCTGCCGAACTGTTTCTCTTAAAGCTGAGATGGTCACTGTCTTAATCTCTCTTTCATAAAATTGAGATGGCTTTCATTTCACTGTTGGTGCATAAATTGAATTGAATAGATACAAAGAGATCCCCTGAGAGGAAAGCCACTTCTTGTCATTTTCACACTGAGGTCGCAGTGTTCCTGATAAAAATAACTGTCTTGATAGTATCATTTTCTCAGTCTCCAGAAAACCAGAGCACAGCAAAACTGAAATGAGGCAAACAAAATTGCAGTCCTTTTAACCCATTTATGCTAAAGATTACTATTTTTGGAATTTTTGCCTTGAAATTCAGATATTACCTAGAACAATTCCAGGAACAAGAATTTTTAAAAAAAAATTGCATTTCTTCCCACTGTTACAGGCCAAAAACTAGAACACTAGGCTCTGAAGGGTTAAATCCTCATTTTTGTGCTTGCGTTGCTTTGATATGCTTCTGACATTTGCATTGACATCTGGAAATTGGAAGTGCTTCTTCATTGTGATTTTTGACCTCTTACTGCTGCTGGCAGTATAAAGGCTGCCGGTCTTTTAATAGTTTACTCTAGGGGAAATTTAAGACAATATTTGAGTTTGATAAGTCTCAGAATTCTGTCATACCTAATTACAACAAAATAGTTTGATGACTAGTGAAGTTTTGAATTTACAGCTATTCTTTGCCTAATAATCCTTAGCATAATTGGTTCATGCTTTGCCCTCAAACACTGTGAAGCAAGCATGTGGTTCTAATGTTGCTTTCTAGCACGTTCTACATTACTTACCATAAACTTCGTAAGTCGATGGCAGTCATGACATCTTCAGAGTGCTGAAAGAAACTGTCAGCCAAGATTCCATATTGAGGAGAACATATTATACAGATTTTTCAGAAGGAAGAGACTGAACAAGTTATATACAAAGGAGGTTCCTCAGGTACAAGTTTCACTAAGCAGAAACCGGGATCTGAATAAAGCAGTGTTAAAATAACAAAAAACGGTGTGTAGTCATGATAGAGCTAGCATGTGTGAGTCCTCAGAAGAGGCTTTATAGTCTCATTTTGTAGCTTTTTAAAAGATAATTGAAGCAAAAACACTCTATTATGGGTTTCAGAGCATGGAGAAGTATAAAGCAAACATATTGTTGATTTCAAATATGGAGGAGTAAAAGTAGAAAATACCGAACTAAAAAGATTAACAAGAAAACATGAAGTTCTTGTGATTTGGTATTTGAAGGCAGACTATAATAAATTACGTACACTGTACATTCTAGAACAAGAGCTAACAAATACACTACCATACCAGGTACAGCTGCACCAGGGAGCATCACTGCAGCTGCAGACTGGAGCTCCAGAGGCCCTGCATTTCAGGTTGAGGAATAAATCGGAACCGGATGCAGAGAGAGCAGGGGAAACCCATTTTCTTCTCTGATATTTTCCTCCTCTACTCATGCCCAGATTACCAACTAGTTCTGCAGTGGAAGCAGCAGTAACTGGTAGCAGTGAGGCGCCATGGACACCTGACATGGAAGGGACAAGAGATACACAAGTGGTGTGGCTGGCCAGGTTCCAGGTGGCCAGCTTGTTAGGAGTCTGCTGCAGAAGAAATTGTCCACACAGGGATCGTTTCACTGGCAAATTCTCCCTGTAACTTACTGCACAGACCTCAGTTCCACATCATCTCTTCCGAAAGGAAGAAAGCCATCTTGGTGAGGCTGTCTCCTGCCTTGGCCTCTGATGCTGGGATTGCAGGCGTGCCCACTGCACTCTGCTCTCGGACTGAGAATTTGCCTAAATAATTCAGCTACAGTGTGTTTGGCTAGAGGAAAATGGAGCTATAGTTTAGTTGGGGATTTTTGTTTGTTTATAACCTACTTCTAAAAATAGTGCCAAATAAAGTGCCTATAACTCTTCAGCCATTTCCAACATCAGGACTCAAGGACCTGCCTCCCACAATCCATAGGTTTTAAGAGAGTTACAAATGCCTACTTCTATTTGAAACATTTCTTTTCCTATAAAAATAATGTTCAGCTTTATTTTATAGGCATATAGTAGTTTTCACCTTTAAAGTAGTTTTCATAAAAAAAAAAACTAAAAACAATAGCGTTTTTTAAAAAAAGTTTTCGTGTAGTTTGGCTTTGAAAATATTAAGATCAGTTTTTTTACTTCTCTTCATTTACATAGTAAGCTTTTGTGTACAAGAACGTTGGTGGTGTTTTGTTTCATTTTTAAACTAAGCTGCGATAATGATAAAAATGATTTGTTATGTTTTTCTTTTCCCCTTCTGGGAAGATGAAATTTCAGTGCTCTGGAAGAAATTAATTTTAAGAAACATTCTAACAGAATGGAAATGGAATCAATTTTGTCTTGACTGAACTGCAGCTACTCATGGTGTACTAATCGCTGTCTGCCAGTGATAAAAAGCAGGATGCTCCTGCTCAGCTCCATGGAGTGTCCTTTGCAGCTCTCCTCACAATACACACACTTACCAACATCAGTCACTTTCTATCTGCCTGACACTGATTAATTACTCAGATCCATCCCACCGTTGCTCCCCGGCGTTGGCACTTCAGTTAGGCCTCAACAATTGAAGCAGGTCAGCATGTGAATTACGTATTTATTACTCTGACCCTTCCTGCCATTTAATTAACTTAAATTTAAGTGTGTGTACCGAGTCTTTGAAATTAACATTGTGAGAAAGATTTTATTTGTATTGCATTTCAGACATAAAAATAACAGTATCACCTTTCTCTAAGGCAATTCATGTAATTTTAATTTTTTAACATAGGTCAATTTTGTTTCATATTAGTGCTTAAATTTTTGTTTCATATTGATACTCATTACTAGGTGTGTAGCTCATGTTAGAGCTAACGTGCAAGACTGGATTCAAACCCCAGCACTGCAAAACAAGTAGAAAAGAAGTCTCCATTATTAATTCACGTTGACTTGGGCTTCATTTCTAAAGAGGAATACATAGAACTCTTACAGATACGTCCTTGGAACCTTGGAAGTACCATGGAATATGTCCATTTCCGCTCTATTACTAAAGGCTGAATAGAACATTACCAACCCACTTAGTTTTTTTTAAGTACTCCAAATACAACCTCCAATGGAGGTTGTATGGAAAGAACAGCATCCATTAGAGCAAAAACATTGAAAGAAGCAGCAGCAGCAGCACCTCATTCACATCAGCAAGGAAGTTCCTTCGGTGTGCCACACATGTTAGGCTGAGCTACATTTGAAGTTACGCTCATCACCCTCAGAGATCACTGAAGTGCAGATCAGAATGCCTAGATTCTGGCTTTCAATTATCTAGATAACAAAATGTGTTCCATTTTCTTCTTTTTCCTTGTTTAGTTGATTGGTTTCTAATAATCCAGTGTTACCAAAAACGACAGGAATGTAAAAAATAGAATCTATTTTATATTTTTATGAAGAAATTTCGCTAATAATAATATGTGTTCAGTAACTGATTTCAAAATTCAGATTTAAAGTCTTCACTGCTCTAAAAAGTGGAAGTAACACTGTTCTAAAAAACTAGCTTTATAAAACTGTCTTCTTTTTTTCTTTTAAAAGTAGACCAAATTGGGGCTGGGGATTTCTCTCAGTGGCATAAGCGCCTGCTTTGCAAGCGCATGGTCGTGAGTTCGATCCCTGGTACCGATTTAAAAAAAAAAAAAAAAAAAAAGACCAAAATTTGCTAACAAAATAATAGGAGAATAGCAATAGTTAAGTAGAGAAAAGGGGAAAGTGCAAGTCAGGTATACTATCAGTGTCTCTTAATTCATTAAAAAGTTCATTAGTGTCTCTTAGTTCTACAATCTCCATACTGATTGTGGAAATTTTTACACTCATATTTTGTACCCTGAGCAACTATCTTTAAAGAAACATGTCTTCATTTTCACAAGTTAAATCTAGCAAACTTGTCCTCGTGGTGTCTAACTCTGGTTCCATGCTAAGAAGATTGTATTAACGTACTGAATTTCACAGTTTCAAATCTTTTCCTCAGTTATTGAAAATGACCCATTTGTGATTTGATAAATCTCCATAATGATTTCTCTGCTATGCTCCTTTTATTTATGTTTAACTTTTAAAGCATCACTCCCTCCCCCCCTTTTTTGGTGCTCGTGGCACTGAGGGTTGAACTCAGACTTTAGCCATATTCTCAGCTCACCTTTAGTTGTTTGAAACCAGTTCTTACTAATTTGCTAAATTGCCCAGGCTGGGATTAAATTTATAAACCTCCTGCCTCAGCCTCCCAGGCTGCTGAGATTTTAGGGGTGCACCATCATGCTTAACTTAAAGACATCACATTCTAATACCAAATTTATTGTACTATAATTTACTTCTAAAAAAAAGTGTACATTTTAGTTTTGATGAGTTTTGATAAATGTGTATGCCTCTATAAGTGCATCATTCCAAAAAGTTTCCTCCTCACCTCTCCTGTATGGTCAGTCTCCATCCCGCTCAAGACAACCAGTGATGAGCTCTCTGCCACTATATGTTAGTATATTTTTAATTGATAGAAAATTACTCAAAATTGTGCTCTAAGGGGGAGGGAGATAGATAGCTCAGTGGCGTAGCACTACCAGACATGCCCAAAGTCCTGAGTTTGATTCCTAGTACCAATACAACAGCAGCAATAATAATAATAGTAATAATGTACTCTAGCTTCTTTTGCTTGATAGCATTTTTTAAATTTTTTAAAAAATTTTCTTTGAGATTTATCAGCATATCATTAGTTTGCTCCTTTATATTAGCAAGTAGCATTCTTCTTGTGGACATATCAGATCTTACTTATGACTGACCTACTGTGGGACTGTTGAAACTGTTTTCAGTTAAGGCCCATATGCATAAAACTGCTGGGAACCTTGCGAGTCTGCAGAACTGGTTTGCATTTCTCTGGGGTCGGTATCTAGAAATGGGCAGGCTTGGTCTTTTGGAACGAGTCTAACAAGAAGCTGGCAGATGTTCTGTGTTGCAGGTAGCACTGTTGTATGATTGTGTATTTATTTGCTCTAAATCCTCACCAACACTATATAAAAAACCATTTTAATTTAAGCTTTTCCTTTGGGTACTTTTATCTGTATCTTAAATTTGCATTTGCCTCATGACTAATGATGCTGACCACCTTTCCATGTGTCTTTTGGACATTTGTAGTATCTTTCCTGAGATTTCTGTAAAAAAAATTGCTCAATTTTTAAGTGGGCTATTTGCCATTTTACTGATTTGTAAAGTATAGAACTTATTAAGAGTTTTGATGAAACAAAATAGTTATAAAGTTTATGCTCTAGGAGGCAGCGTGCACTCCACTGTGAACAGTGTTGTCTTGGCTTTTTCACGGACTTCTGCACCAGACCAAGGAAGTTGGTTGCTATTCCTGGCACCGATGTTCCCAGCACCAGTGCTAGTTTTGTCCCGTAGTTTTGCTAGACTTCCCAAGACACGATGTCCTTTTGCTCACTAGGCTTTGGCATCTGTGTTCATCTGTTCACTTGTAGTTTACCTCTAAGGAGTCTGTCTGATTTTGGTATCAGGATAACACTCAGAAGATGAACTTGGGAGTATTCCTCTAGTTTTAGCTTTCTATAGAATTGCTTTCCCCTTAAAAATCTGCTAAAAATCACCGGTAAAGACCTGTAGGCCTGTTTTGTAATGTAGATACTAAAACTTATAAATTTTTCCTCTAAGCATTGTTTTAGCTAGTCTACATTTTTATGTTTGCTTTATCATTTAAATAAAAATGATAATTTTCCTTGTGTTTGTTTTTTGCTTTGACAACGGAGTAGAAGTCAGGTTTAATTCTGTCACTTGCTGTTTTTTCCTCTGCTTTCTTACCTCTCTTTGGAGGCTAAATATATTTCTTTGTTTTTTCTCCCCCCTTATAAATGTACATCTGTCACAGGCTACCCTCAGGTAACAGAGCTCTGTCACTTCCTGTGTAATAGGGGCCCTTGTGATATTCTTCATTCTGCTCCTCCAGGCCTTCCTGCTATTGCTACAAAATATTTCTTTGCCAAGCGTTTTGAACCTAGCACACTTACACTTACTACTTTTATTTTAAACAGTTATTGTAAATAAGTTTTCCAAAAATGTCTTTAATGTTTACTGCATACTTAGCTATTTTTGGCTTTCCTTTAATATTTCCTATGCTCAAGGTCCACTAGAAAACAGCTTCTCTGAAAAACCCCTTATTTTACCTTCATTTCAAAAATACATTTTCTGGATGTTGAATTCCTAGTTAATAGGTTTTCTTTCATCCCGTCAGAGTACTTACTTTGCTTAGATGAGTTGTACCTTTGGATCTGTGATTTTATAGTTTTATGAAACTGTGTATTTTCTGCATGGTTCATTTTTCCTGGTTTCCAATGTGCACATCTCAGTTTTCCAGTTAGAGATGGGCTGGGCTGGGCCATAGGGGCCATAGGACGGAGTCCTGTGGTGACGGCATCTGCCTCGCCCTTAGTTCCTGGGGAGGGAGATGTTCCATCTTCGGGCTCCAGCTCGGAGATCTCTGTTACCACCTCTTCTGCTCTGCTCTCCCCTGCCTCTGCAGTGTCTTTCCAGCCACTGTGCCTCAGATCCCCTTGAGCTCCAGGAATTCAGTTTGAACCTCCTTTTTCTTATCTGTTCTCTGGTTATAAGCATGTTTTCTCTCAACCTGCTTCTGTTACTGAATTTTCTTCTGCTTACAGGACTCAAATTTCTACTTTTTAACCCACCTAGTAATTTTTAGGTGGCTATCAGACCTTACAAATTTTATGTTACTGAATGCTTGGGTTTTCTTTCACCTTTAAAACTTCTGAAGTTTCTTTTCGCAGGATAGTGGCTTAGAGATCATCTTAATCTTTACAGAGATTATGTTAAAACTTTGGGAGCCTAGAGTAGCCTTTACTCTTGAAATAGTTTACTTTCAATCCTAAAGCAAAATCTTTTTTATATCTGTCCTGAATTCAAACTGCCAACAAATGTTCACCAATTTCCTTCTGTTCTGTAGAAGCTAAAACAATGCTGCATGGAATTGACATCTCCCAAACACATGTGAGCTGTGGGAGTGGCATGGCTAATTACTCCTTAAAAGTTCATTTTCATTCAGAGCCATAATTTTACCCTACCATGCACAGACAGCATCCAAAGGGGACAGTGTAGATTTTTGGAACACTTTCGTTGAAAATGTTTTCTGTCTTTCCCCCTTCCTAACATTTTATCCCTACTTTTATTTCTTTCTTGTCATACTGCTTTGGATGGAACATCCAACAGTTATGTGAAGTAATACAGTAACACTGGTGTCTTTGCTATTTTTTCACTTTAAAGCTGCTGTTTTTACTTTTTGTCTGTTTGCTTTCAGAACTTGGTATTCTCTAAGGAAGTTATTCTTGTTTCTAGCAGACCTTTTATGAATTAACGCTGACATTTACTAAAGAATTTGTGGTCATACATGGTGATTTGAGCATGTGTGCCCTCCAATCTGGTGTAATGTGAAGGCCAACAGAGTCACGGGTCGCTTGGGCGTGCTCTGGGAAGTATGCTGCTGGGCAGTTTCTTTCTTTCTTTTTTTGTTTTTGTTTTTTTTTTTTAAGTCCTCCCAAATGAAATGCCATTCCCAGACACCTTGTGCGTGTGCTTCCTCTCCTCCCCTCCATGTACCATGTGGACAGGCCTTCCCACTGCTGAGTGTGTATGGGGTGGCCACACGCTGCAGACGCAGGGTGAGGTCCATGCAGGGACACTCTTTCTCTCACCTGAGCCTGTGGTCTCTGAGAAGGACCTCGTCTTGTCTTGTGCTCTTTGGTCAGAACCTGCCACAGCACCTCCCCTGCATGTGCTAATACCACTGACTGCCCCTGGCTCTGTTTGACCCCTGTGGGTTTGCTCAGGGTCTCACGGGGATGTGGCATAGAGTTCTTAGTTTGCTCAGAAATTAATGAAACATACTGAAGTCTGAGCTGGGTGTGGTGGTTCATCTTATAATGGCAGCGTACTGGGAGGCTGAGGCAGAAGGGTCACAAGTTAGAAACCCCAGCCAACAGCTCAGCTCTTGTGACCTTTCTGCCTCAGCAACTTGGGAGTTAGTGGAAACATTCCCAGTGGGGATGGAGCTTGGGTTCAGTCTCTACTACTGCCCCCCCCCAAAGTCTAAGCACAGTGTAGTATTGATGCCTGTAGCTCATTACTAGTATCATTTTTTACTTCTCTGCTAAATTGTGTTCCTTGTATTCATAAAGCATTTCTTGCCTTTCTTTTACAGGTGAATCCTTGAAAGGGAAAATCATAGTTCACAAGAATAAGAAAGATCCTCGCTCTCTCATTGTGACACTCACCTTGAATAATTCATCGCAGACTTACAGTCTCCAGTGAGACAGCCACGATCGTACAGCGTCGTCACAGCTCTTCATGCGGGGTGGGGAAGTGGGGCAGGCTTCCCTGGAGCCTGTGGACGGTGGGCCCTGGCCTGATCCCCTTAGCCGGAGAAGCACAGGGGAGGGGAGATCTGCTGGCCTATGCTGGGGACGGCCCTGGACCCTCCCCGCCTCAGCAGCTTTTTCAGGCGGCTGTGCAGCTGGGTCACGCCCCTGCAGCCTCTGCTGTGCGTGGCCACCTTGATAATCATGTTCCTTAACCACCCAGAGCGGTGGCTGTCTTCTTGTTTTTAGTAAATTTCTTACAAATTTTAAGCAGTAGTAATTGATTAGTTTTAAAACATTTTTGGTAAATTAGTGACACAGGAAGTGCATTCTGTTGAACATTTCCTCTCCAGAGGAATAGCACTTGGTTATATTCACTGGTGTATCAAGATGTTACCAGTTAGGGCACACAGATAAGGGGCTGCAAGCAGGGCTGGTGTTCACCACCTGCAGGTCCCATCTCGTAGGTCTTCCCTCTCTGAATAGTCTCTAGCCATAGGCTTCTAGTATCACCCAGGAGCCAATCTCAGTGTATTCCTGCTACATTTGATACACGTTTTTAAAGACCAGAATAAATGTGCACTTGTTTACTAGTGTGTTATGTTTTTGAAACTGGATTTATGTGCAGAGGTTAAACATACAATATACTTGTATCACTCTACCAATTATGTCATTTGCAGTCATTCACTGAGTTTCAAATGGAATGAAAAGCATTCAGTGAAATGTGTATAGTAGCTATTATTAGCATTAGAAACTGTTCAGGGCATCTAGGCCTTTGGTGAAAGGGAAGTATGCGGGACAGTTCTCACGTGGGAGGCACCTTTGAGGGACAGGAGCGTCTGAGCATCGTGTTGAGTGGCACAGAGCTCTGGGCTCAGCGTGAGGCTTCAGCCCTGACCCTCACACTTTGGCAGTGTGGTCTTTGTCCCTGCCAAACCCTTCTCTCCTTCCATAAATGTGCTGGCTGTGCTAATGCATTTCAAGTGCTAAGATGGGTGCCTGGCCCTTAGAAATGCACCGTAAATGTTGGGGTGACAGTGCATCATCGTGCAGTCAAGGGCCCCTTCTAAAGAGTGCATGGCATCTGCATTTGACCAGTTTGAGGATCATCTGCCTCATGAGGTAGTGATAATCACTCTAACACGAGAACAGGCAAGAGCTGGGTGTGGTAACCCACACCTGTCATCCCAGCATTTGGGAGGCTGAGACAGGAGGGTGACTTCAAGTTTAAAGTTAGCCTGGGCAACACAGTGAGTTTAAGACCTGTCCAAGCTGAGTCAGAAACCCCTTGGCATGGTGGCGTCAGGACCTTTCGTAGACTTGACTATCTGCATGAACACGATCACTTTCACTGATTCAAGCAGCCGATTTATTTCATCCTAACTTGAACTCAGACTTTACTGAAAATGTGTGGTGCATGCATTTAAAATACATTTTTCTTTGAGATGAGATCTTGCCATGTTGTCCCGGCCATTGAATTCGCAGTCTTAAGTGATCCTCTTGCCTCAGTCTCCCACGTAGGCGAACTACAGGCAGTGCTGCCACATCTAACTTCTCATTTAAAGTACTTCAAGTATTGTCCTAAGTGACTTTTTCTACAAATATGAATAGGTTAAGATGACAAATAAGGGGACCTACAAGAAGACATGGTTGATTGTTTAAGTACCTGAAAATCAAATGGGGTTGGGCTGTGCCAAATGAATTAGACTATCTCTTACTGTTTAAGAAAGTGTTTCTCAAGTTATTCTCCTAAAAACTCTTGTGTTCATGGAGTTTTCGCCCAGTGGCTTGATTTTTCTCCTGGCTCAGCCACGTGGAAGTGTTGTGTGAAGTGAGCCTTGCTGTGCTGGGATGTTGTAATCTGGGTATCAGCAGTTTCTGAAAATGGCTCCTAGATTGGAATTTCTGCTGTTGATCTGCTGAGAGAAGTAAGTCTCCATAGCCCTTGACAGTGACAAACTGTCCTTCCTTGCTGTGGGCAGGTGAGCCCTTAGAGACACCGGCTCACTTTATTTCCATATAGAAAATACATTTTGTTTTCCGCATTGTTACACTGGACATGTGATATGTGGGTTCATCTGGCCTCGATCCATGGTCGTCACCTGTTGTAGAATAGCCCATTCTGAAGAGAGGATTCTGAAAGAAGCGACCCAAGGAAACAGAACTCAAGAGGTTCTTCAGGTCCCAGAGCTGGTGAAGACAGCTGCGGCCGCTTCAGGGCACATCAGGTTAGGCAGCTGTGCAGGAGTCTCATTTTGAAGAGGTCCTGTGAGGGTGGCCAGGGGTGCACGGCTTGATCCTCCAGAGGAAGTAGCTTCACCACTTGGCATAAATGGCCAGTGTGCCCACCTGTGTCCTGTGTCCTCCAAGGAGCACAGTAACTAAGCGTCGGATGTGAAGTTACTGACTGGAGATGGGCCCAGGGGCCTCTGCAAGTGTACTTTCACTGGAGGGAGTGGGGTATCACCGCAGCGGGACAAAAGGCAGGTGTTAGGCCAGCCACACAGCCTCTTAGCACCTGCTGGCCATGCCAGGAATTACAAGCCAGGTAGGTATTCAGATCTCTATCGAAATGACAAAATTCTGAACATAGAAGTTTACAAGCTTGATCTGTACTTAACTCTTTCCTTCAGAGAGACCAGCTTGTTGGCCAGCATTTCATCACAGGATTGGCCAAGTACAGCCCTGCGGCCAGAGCTGCCCTGCTGCTTGGTTTATATCACCATGGCAGAGCCAAATAATCACAGCAGCTCCTGTGGGCCACGAAGCCGGAAACACGAGCCTGCCACTTTCCAAGCTTGGAAGGGTTAAGCTGGTGATGGTGTTTATGGGCCATGATAAGTGAATTCTGGCTGCTGTGCTGATGCAAAGGGAGATGGAGGTCCCTGCTCTTCCAGCAAGGCCCTGTTGGCTTGGAGACTTCTCAGACCTTTTCCTGATTTCGAGTATTTCCTAGTCCTAGTGGCAGGATAGCCAAGGAGAATGAAGCAGAACATTTTGAAAATACCTTTGTAAATCATTTGACCTTTCCAGTGGTCTTCATATTTTAGTATGAAACAGTTCACATTCATTTAATTCCAGTGTGTAGCTAAATATACACAGAAATGTTTATTAACAGGTTCACTTATTAAAATGAAACAACAGTAATGCATTCATAAAGTGAAAGTTAAAATTATGCATTCTGTAAAAATCTGACACCCTCATGGTAATATGGAAAAGCTCGCAGAAACAGTGTTGAACTTAAAAAGTAGTAATACAATTACAACACTAGTTATAAGTCAAAGCTGCATATGCTAAAATAGTGCAAGGAGACTTTGTTAGATTAGATGAGTAATTTTCCTCTTATCCATACTTCATCATGTTATGTAACTTTGAGAAGTTTTAAAAATATATTTTCAAAAATGGACAAAACTGAGTAGCTGAGGTAGTTTTGCAAAGTGTTGATAGTAGAAATGAACTCATAGACCCCTGGTCAGCTTGCAAGGTATATGGAAGCCCAAGAGCTCTCGGTCGTCTTATAGGACCCTCCCTCTGCTGGCACCTTGACCCACTGCTCTGGGCTGTCCACTAAGGTCCTGGTACCCTGCGTTGCCCTTTGTGTCAGCCCCTGCCACTCCAGCTCTACTGAGTCATTCCACAGCCTCTCATCTCCATGCTGCTCTGCACATCCTCTTGTAGACAAGATGCCTGGCTTTGTGGAGCACAGGTCCTCCCCAGCAGCCTTGAGTGTCCCTGTCCTCTCCCACACTGCCCAGCCGCCCCTTACGGAGGAGAAAGTTATTTTGGCTCATATTTCAGAAGTTTCAGTTCATCTTCGGCAGGTTCACACATAGAAACAGCTTGGTGGAAGGACCTGGGCAGAGGACAGTGGCGGGCATCATGGTGACCTGAAGTAGAAAGGAAGGAGGAGCTGAAAGAGGAGCTGTGCCTTCCAGGTCACACTCCCAGGGGCTCAGCTCTAACAACACCCCACCCTTTGTAGCAAGTCAGCGGTAGCACCCCATAATCCAGTCACCTTCCAGAAGCCCAGCATCTGAATGCACGAGGCTCTCGGGGACGTCTGTGTAGAACCGTAACACCCCTGGGAAGGGCAAGGTAGATTGTTGGGTTTTGATAGTACGGTATGCAGGTTTGTTGGTGTGGCAGTACTTCACATTGCAACTGACTCAAACTACCACCTGAGAAGAGAAACTACGTCTCAGCCAGCCAGAAGACAAACCACATCTTCCTGTGAGCCAGCCGGTATGTGAGCTGAAAACCAGAAGAGTGTCCCCCAACCCCTACTGACTCCAAGGACTCAGAAGGGAGGAGCTCATGCTTGTGTTGTTTGATTGACTCTGCAGGCCTGGGACTGGTGGTCTGGGCATCTATTTGGAGGATGGCAGTGTGCATTGTGTAACTGGGGGATTTCCTTCTGCCTTGTTTTTAAAATCCAATGTTTTGTTCCATTTTACTGTTTTATCTCTCATCTGGTAACCTGAGCAACTATTTTGAAGATAACAATGTGCAGTATTGTTCTCACTGTTTTGTTCTAATTTATTGTTTTATTTCATTCAATGTTATGTTTTGATTGGTTTTACTTTGTTTGATTTTGCTATGTCTGATGGTATGGACAACTATTGTGAAGATAGCAAGATATATTATGGTAATCATTTTTTTATTTCCTGTTCTGTTTTGAAGTTCTGGACCACTTTACTGCTTTGTTTTGATTGGCTTTATTCTGTTTCGGTTTTTTTGGTTTTATTTGCTTTAAAATAAATAAATTTTGCTATGCATTAAAAAAAAAGAAACAACTACTAGTAAAGTTTTAGTTCAGTATTGAAAATTACCTGTGTAAAGCCATGTCTCTTTCCATATACTTCAACTGAAGCAACTTAACAGAATGCAGAAGCAGTTATGAAAGTTGAACAGAATTCCACAAAATGAAACCTTTGAGAGATCTGTAAAAATGCTAAACACCGCTACACTACTAAGTATTTTTCTTGACCATAACTATACAGAATTTCTGTTAATGTCTGTGGGCTTCATATTATGCATTCATATTATAAAATTTTCTGTTTTAAAATTTTGGGGGGGGGGCATCTTTTTTAGAAGGTTTCACCACGTAGTTCAGGCTGGCCTCGAACTCACTTTGTAGCCCAGACTGGTCTTGAACTCACAGTAATCTTCCTGCCTCAGGGCCCCCCCCCCCCACTGCTGAGCTTATAAGCATGTGCCACCACACCTAACTTTGTTATGATTTCTAATATAATAAATATTATATTTAATAGATGTAACTCACATAAAAAAATGGCAAGAACAAACTATAAGTTTGTTCGAAGCCAGGGCTGATAAAACACATCTTTTACTGTAATAAATTTTTAAAAATTTGGACATTCACCGTAGTTTTTTATCACATCATACAAATATTTAAATAGTTGTGAACTTTTAACTGCTGCGTGCTGACTCTTCAAAATGTAGAAATGTGCTATGCTTTGACACAACCTGTGACACTGGGAAGGGTGTGATAACTTTGCACACATATAATTGAAGCTTCCTGACGAGCAAAGTGCTGGGGATGGAGCCCAGCTGTCCAGCACTTGCCTCTACCTGTCTGAGGCCTTGGATTTGACCCACAGCCCTTAAAACAGACATAATTTGAAACTAAAGCACTTTAATGTT